GGTATCCTATTTGATGAAGATCTCTGAGGCCGGCTATACCCTATAAACGGCAATAATACAGTCGATCGGTAGCACATTCAAAAAAGTTGCGAAGATGAAGAAGCCGTATCCGCTCATTTGAATTTGTATCACCTGTATGAGGATTCTTCCTGTTGTCGACCTTGAAAATCGTCTCTGTGGACTTTGCTTGCGTATATCACTGAGATTCCTTGACAGCAATTGCATTATTATGTAATTAATTTCAGATGTAGATCCTGAACCCCACATAAGTGGTACGTGTGAACGGCCTTGTAGTCGAAGGAGTACCTGACATATAATCTGATGCTTGAACCTCGATCGATCACATCACTGGTGATAAACTAACTCAATTAATTTGAACCAGCTAGTGAGACGATATCAAATTCATTTACTTTATTCATTCATCTATCTGTTCATATAGAAACGAACGAGAACAAATAGCAGACCAATCTTACACATCTTACTTGTTCTGAGCTTTCTTGTTTGGGTCTGCTTTTATCATCACTAAAAGAGCACCAAACAAGAGAGTGTCGTGGAGCAGATGCCTTGAAACCGAAATAATGCTTTCAATTCGAAATTATTTCTGACTGAATATGGCAAAAAGGTGAACCTTCTGCTCGAGGATCATTCGTTTGGACGTCTTTCCTTTACGGATTTTTGTCTCTGTTTTGATCGCAACCCCCAACGATTCTACTGATGTTTCGTCGACCGCAAAATAGATTTGACCATAAGCGCCGCTTCCGATCAATCCCTTGAAATCATTCCGAATCAATAACTGTGATTCCATGAAGCTCTCTTGATCTTCAAAGAATGCAGAAATATGTAAAAAATCAGATCCAAGATCCAATTCACTCACTTTGATGATCCATCGATGGTTGATTTTATCATCAATTTTGAACAACTGTTTTGGGATATGCTTCTTGCTCAGTTTCGGGAAAAGCCTTAGTAAACCACTGAAATTCATCACATAAACTTATTATTCAGTTTATTCCATGATGCTCTTCGCTTTATAGATCTGATCTTGAAGTTTAATCGAATCATCCAACTGGAATTGCTTTGAAATGCCCACTTGAAGAAACCAATCATCTGTATAATCAAATGATAAGGCGATTTAAACCAAACCTCGGAATTTGAGCAACTTCTGATGAATACTCCGATCTAGCAGTTTTCGGCGGCGATGACGCCGCTACACTCCGCTCTCTTGACGTCTTCCGCGACGTTTTTAATTATTCTCGTCGACCACCTCGGTCGATGCATAAAAAACAATGGAGTCCAATCCGATAGTAATCACTTTATATACACCGAAATATACAAATTTTTTCGTAATTAGATTGTATGTAAAATCAAAATTTCTCACTAGACACTATGCATTCAACTAAACTTTAAAGATTTTCGAAACTTTTCACATGCAAATATCTTTGAAATGAATTCTAAAAGAATTTTGCAAACATTCATATTACTTGCTTACTTATTATACAAATTACTCAAAATGACTTGCTCACAAAACATACATCGGTATCAAAGGAACACATTTCATTCGTTTCCAGAGATCAGCCCCCACTTTGCTTACTGTAAGACAACTTCACTGGTGTACGTTCTCTCTACTGTGATGCTTGCACGCATCCCGGCACTTATCTCTATTGTCAGCTTTCATACCAATAAAGATTGGGCTATCCACTTCGGACTATTCCATGTAAGCTGATGCTTCAACCATACAATGACGTTACTAATTTGATTACCTAATTAAATTCGGCAAGTTTCAGATCGGTTTTGATTTGCTATTCGATCATTTTCGATCATCTCTCCTATTCGATCATTTTCTACCTCTTGACTGCTCCCAATTTAGAGACGGTTCATGCAGAAGTGATTACCTGGATTACCTGGATTGGCCAGGCTATCAAACGTTTGTAACGTTGCTGGCCACAATGCTCGCGTTTCCGTTCGCACTGTTTTAGCCTTGATTGTAGCCACCCCGCTGGCTAGGCGAGCAGGCCAAGTGAGTACAACCGAGTATTTAATTAGTTGCCGTGAATACTTTGCACAATTAAACGTAGCCAAATATCAATCCAATAAATATTCATAAGTCTACAAAATAAGCATTCCGCCGATCGCTAACCGCGATCAACAAAACAACCGCTCGATGTGTAAGTAACAATGATCGCAGAAGTGATAGTTTTGCTATTTTGCTGTTATCACGCCTTAAACTATGGAACCAGTCTAACTTCAGCTCGTTTTCCTGCATTAATCAGTACATTTCGAGGAAATTCGATCGTGCTTCTGACCACATAACAATAAATTTAGCTGCTGTGACAATTGATCAGAAAACAACTACTAAAAGATCTACTTTAAGTGCATAATCCCTCATAAAAGCTCCAACATTGAATAAACTCTCATTCAACACTTCATTTCATGTCTGAGATATTCATC